GCTTAACCGACTGAGCCACCCAGGTGCCCCTTAAACTGAGATTCTAATACAAATGTTCACCTTCTACTACTACTATTTCTCAGTTACTCTCCTTTTCTTCCATGGAAATTTACTGGAATAAAAATATATATAATATACATTACTTATATATTATATCACATATATATTGATATGTTTTACATTAATATTACTATATTCATTCATATATTATATAATACATACATAACATACATTTATCATGTATTACACATATAAGACATAAATTATATATACATGTAGCATATATAATGTAATCTCTTAAGAACCGATGAGGAAAGAGGAAAGCAGCCCTGGTCGTGTATTTTTCAGTCCTCACAACATCTCTATGAATTAGATCTTCCTGTCCCATTCTGCTGCACAGAGTTGTTAAACTGCTGGTTTGTTATTTTTACGTATAGTTATTTTTATGCATAGTTCTGTCTCAATGCCCTCTGGATTTTTTAGTTTTGCTCTTGTTTTTTATGATGGTAGATAGAACTTAAACTCATTGCTTTTATTCCTGATTTAGCAGCCCAAATAGGCTTGAAGAGCTCCCCTCTCCGCCTTATCCCACACATTGCCAAAGCAAACTGGACAAAATAGGTTTGGTTTCTTTTTTTTTTTTTCCTTCTTCTACATCTTGCCATTCCCCGACCATAACCCTTGGATGGCTCTCCATGGCCTATAACCACTTTTTAAGAGACCCAAATCAAACTGTCACTCAGCACCTTCTCAGATAATTGTCATATCCCACAACCCTATGTGTTGTACGATCCAAGGAGGGTCCCAGTGAGTAATCCTACACCCGAGCACTTGAGCTAGAAAGTACTTGTCAAAAGGGACAGAGACTAGCAATTGCTTTACCTACTTAGCTGTTAGAACACTACTAAAGGCAACTGAGTTATTTAAGTGTCACCTAGCTAAGAGCTCATATTTTAAGGACAGGAAATGAGTGTTCCAGTAGTAGGGAAAGCTAGAATGAACATTAAGATACATTTTCTTATAAAAAAAAGTTTTTAGAAAAAGCTTTCCTAGAGAAAAGAGAAGCTGACAACAACTTTACTGAGGTTCAAAGCTTTTTTTTTTTTTAATGTGTCATTGGCCAACAAGGCATTAAAAAAATATGATTTAAAAAATCATCTGGCTTTAAAAAGAATGAATTATTCCTTTTCTAAATTTCTAGCATTTCCTTTTCTAACTTTTCAGATTCCACATTAGAAATGCTCAGATGGTCTAAGAGATGAGACTTTGTGAGTCTTCAAAACAGGGCAATGAAAATAAAATCATCACCAATATTCCCCCACTAGGCTTTGGGGATCAGGCCACAGTGGCTGGACCAGGAGGCCCTCTGAAGTCTATGGGAGAGAAGGATTTGGACGCACATTGTTTCCTTTGGGGGAGACAAAAAGGAATTAATTCACTATCTCTTTTTAAAGAAATAGTTTTAAGGAGGGGCGCCTGGGTGGCTCAGTCGGTTAAGCGACTGCCTTCGGCTCAGGTCATGGTTCTGGAGTCCCAGGATCGAGTCCCGCATCAGGCTCCCTGCTCGGCAGGGAGCCTGCTTCTCCCTCTGACCCTCCCCCCTCTCATGTGCTCTCTCTCTCATTCTCTCTGTCTCAAATAAATAAAAATCTTTAAAAAATAAAAAAAAAAAGAAATAGTTTTAAGGAAATAGTTTTAAAGAAATAGTCTTGGAAAAAATAATATCCAATATTCATCCATTCATCAAATATTTATTGAGCACTTACTTCCACAGAAGGTGACTCCCGCCCTCCTGGAACTGAGAGTCGAGTTGGCAACACAGTCAGTAAGTAGTAACCCAGATGTAAACCTCAAGTCTGACTCTGACCAGTGCTAGAAAGGAGAGGTGTGGGACCTCCTCTCAGCTACAAAAAGGGATTTGGCCTAATGATGCCTAAAGAAGTGAGCACCAGGCTCAGATTAAAAAGTGGATGGAAGCTAACTAGAATTTTGTGATTCTATATCAAAGTTTTGATTTGCATTACCAAATCTCAACTGAAGAGTCACAGAAGGAGCCCCGGGGGATACATGAACAGAATGAAAAGATATCTTACCTAGAAAACTCCAGGACATTAAGAATTTCAAATGTGAAGTTTTCTCCCATCTACAGGAAGATAAGACAACATCTTCTTATCCGAGGGGGAAAAAAAAAGTACTCATCCTGCAAAAGAGCTCATTCTCCCAATCAGAAAAAAGTTTTACCTACCCTACAACTACACATCTTTTTCAAAATAACACATTTCCTTGCAAACCTGATGAAATAATGGTGCCCTCTTCTGGCAAGAACATTGTTTGCAAACTGGGGACTATTGGCAAAAATGCTTCTCATAGGGCAGATTTAAGACTAAAACACCTCTTTAAATATAAAATCAGCACTACTAGAAACATTTTATGGATACTCTCATGTTGCAAGGTTATATGGAGTAAGTGAGACAATCAACAGCAGAAATGGAAAAACAAGTCTTTTCATAAAATTGCACAGATCAAACAAAATCCTTAATCCTTAGATAATTTGAAGAGGTAACCAGGGAAAGAGATGGCATGCTATAAAATTCTATATCAATAAAACCTGCATTCTTTTCTAAATTTTTCCAGTTACAGCCTCTTGATTTCCTGTAGCCATGATCAATTCACCAATAAGGCAATTCAGAATTTCAAATAATTTGAGAGTTGTCCATGTGACACATACCACAGATATAAAGATGAATCAGTCAGTCCATTCTGCTAAGGACTGAATGTCTAGTAGACATCCCTAACTACTGCATTATTAGTGGGGAAAAAAAATGAGTGTGTTGGGCACCATGTTCACATTGCTTCAATTCTTCCCCATAATATCAAAGGCTTGTGGTAAGTGGTCATCAAGAAAAAACAAGAAAAATATATACATAATATATATTACATATAATGAACAAATCAACACAATAAGAGAACTCACCAAAAAAGTTTGAAAATTTTTAATTTTTCATTAAAAAATAGTATATTTCTTGAAGATCTGATGATTCTTTTTTAAATAGCTCACTTTTATTGAGCACTCTCTCTGCTCAAGCACTAATTCCAATTACTTTACATATATTAACTCATTTAATCCTCACCAAAAACCCTATGACATGCATAAGAAGATTGGGGCAAAAACAGAAGTTAAGGAACATGCCTGAGAATATGGCTGGGAAAGTGTGGGTCCAGGTGGGAATCCCTGAAACTGAGATTCCAGAGCTTCTCTGCTCAACTACTCTACTTGTGTCTCTCTGGAAGGGGAGTGTAAACTGTGAGAAAGCATGTAAGACGTTACTCACAGCTTCTACAGTGACAGAGGTTGGCATTCTTGTAGTAAAAACAAAGCCAAGCTTCTTCACTCCTTTCACTAACGCTGCTTCATCTGTCAATAAAAAGTCTGTATTAATGGAGATGGAGCAAATACGTTAATACTGAATTTAATTAAAACAGATTTCCATTCTCCAGTACTAAAACACCATGAATTTTTTTTTAAACTTGGCTTTTTTTTTTTTTTTTTGGATCCAAATGCACTTACCTAGGTAGCAGAAGGCATTCATAAAAGAGGAAATTTGGTTAAATAGGCCTTTTTCAGTGGGGTTAAGATATAGTTCTTTCTTAGTACTCATTATGGTTTTGTTCTAAAGCCATTAATAGAATCTCCACAACATGGTGTGGTGCCTTAACCTTACTCCTGCCTTGTTACTGGTTATAAGTAAATATTCTATTGAACCCCAGCCCAGAGGGCCCTCCTGACCAGCCTCCTTATGGCAGTCTTTGGGGGTGTAGGGAGGAGCCCCAGTAAATACCCAGTACCATGAATACCCCTGACCCGTGAGAAGTCCGGGCAAGGAGCAACACAGGAGCAATCCAGGGATCAGCGAGAGTATCTCGCCTTTTCTCAGGGCTCATCACCTACCAGGAGCTCTAGGGGCACACAGCACCTACCTGGGGAGGAAGCCTGGTAGATTATATCCTTTCCATCTCTCTCAGGAACAACAGTGTGGCACACACATAACAGGGTAAGAAATTCCTTTATATAATCTTTTGTGGGCTATAAAAAAGGCACAGAGCTAATGAGTCTCTTCCAAGACCAGTGACATAAGACTTAATATATAGTCTGCAATTTGTATCAACTATGGTTTCACTTCAGGTACACAGAGCCAGGCACTGACTAAAAACCATATCACACATTCAAAATGTGTTGGTAGAGTGGCCACCGAGGTGGAGACAGTGCAGGGCTGGGGAGACCTCAGTGAAGGTGACGCTGCTCTCCTGGAGCTTCTAGTCTCACTGGGGAAAGAGGTTTTCTCAAAGCTGGAGGAAAAAATAGGGGTTGTTACAGAGAATAGAGGGGCCTATTTTAGGGAGGTGATCAGGGGTGGGGGGATACATTGAGGAGATAATATTTAAATTAAGACCTAAATGGAAAGGTTAGTTAGCTGTGTTCACTGACATGTGACTGTGGTACATACTAGGCAAAGGGAATAGCACTTTCAAAGGCCCTGAGTCAGGGAACAGATTCATAGGTTTGTGAACGTCAAGACAAGTGTGACTCCAGCATCTTGAACAAGGGGAACAGTGACACAGAATGAGGATGGAGAGAAAGTCACAGTAATGAATTAGGATTTTATCTTAAGAGGGGGTGCTAGTTCGCTGAAGGTTTTTAAGCAAAGGAAGGGCATGTACAGCTTTATGTTTTAAAAGATCACTTTTATTTTTGAGAAGATCAAGATTTCAAATCAAGTAGATCAGTATCTTAAAACTGGTAAATGAAGATATTGGTAACATACAATAGAACCAAATAGCTTAGAAGCATTTAGAGATTTTCTTACATAGATTGCTACATAGTAAAATATTCTTTCTTAATGTTTGGATTCATTGACACCAAGTTTAGCATAACCTTCCTAATATCAGTATGAAGTCCACTGTTTATTAACATCAAAAAAAATTCAAGACTCTCTGCTGGCTGAGAAAATTATACCTTTTAATAAACCATATATATTTTTTAAAGTTAGGTAGCATTACCCCTGTTGGCTTTGAGTGAAAATAGCAGACTTACGTGGCCATTTTCAAAGTTCTGCAGTAATTTTGGGTCATTAAATTCGCAGGACTCTGTGATGACAGAGGGTGACAGACTGAGGAAGAATAGAGAAGATTTGTTGTAATTAAAATTCCTGATGGGGCCAGTCAGCAATCAAATGGACCTCAAGTGAACACGTTTTCAGTAAGTTACAGTATTAAGTCTGTAGAGCTACCACCGACCCTTGAGTAACATGGGTATCAACTGTGCAAATCCACTTATACACAGATTTTTATCATACAGTCAATGTATTTTGTCTTCCTTGTAATTTTCTTACTATCATTTCCTTTTCTCTAGCTTTATTGTTATAGCACCCTATATAATACATATACAAAATGTGTGTTAATCAACTGTTTATATTATCTGTAAGGTTTCTGGTCCAACAGTAGGCTCTTAGTAGTTAATTGGGGAGGTAAAAGCTATACATGGATTTTCAGCTGCATGGGGGGTGGTCAGCACCCCTAGCCTCTGTGTTGTTCAAGGGTAAACTATATAGTAAATATTTAAAGCTCTGTCGAATTATAATCCTATCAGTCCTCAAGTTGCAAAATGGCATTAGAAAATGCCTAAATTTGTGTGGAATCCCATATAGTTATACAGAATCTAAGACAGAGTAACTATAAAAGCATTAAATCAAAGCCTGGATTCTGGGTTCTTTGAATATCACATGGGAAAGATCTATCCAGGGGAGATTTCTGGGAGCTGCCTTGTAGGGCTTGACAAGGGACAGTTGTGTTATCGTATATCAGAACTCCAGCACTGATAAAAAGTCCATGGGAGGGGGATGGGAAGGGAGGAACATGGGCAAAGTAGAAAAGAATGTTGTCTAGTTACCTTAATTTTTCCAAATTGATATCACTTCTGTCTGACTGATTTCTGAGGGAAAATGAGGGAGGAAATATAATGGTTTTAAGACTATAGATATAAAATGCTTTAGGAATTCTAAGCACATATAAAAGCAAATATAAACCTTATTTTTTTAACAACTGCAAATTTTCATTTAGGTTATATTAAGTTTTATTTATTTTTTTTATTATGTTATGTTAATCACCATACATTACATCATTAGTTTTTGATGTAGGATTCCATGATTCATTGTTTGCGTATAACACCCAGTGC